AAATGGTGTTTTTTAATTGACCTAGTTACAGACCAGAAAAGGTTATCAAACAGTAGTGTTATGTCTTTATGGATCCTTTACGTGTGTCTTTCATTACTTTGAAACTTTTGCCATTCTTACTTAATTTAGAGGGAGATTTGAATTAAGGAGGGACTCTTGGTAGGTTTTTGACTAAATAAAATATTTAAACTTTAATTTATTAAAAAAAATATCTTTAACACTGAGGTATTTGGAGGTTAAGAAATATCTTTTTCTTTCCATCTTTCAGTTGTACAAATTGACATAGAAATCGTAAACTGGGTTTAAAATATAGTGGAAAATGTAATTCATTACTCTAGTAAAGTGAAATGTAATTTAATTAATTTCTTTTCAAAACAAAACTGTGGTAATTAAATTGTGCAATATGGAAACAATCCAATGTAACAGTAATTTAATACATTACATTTCTAAGTTACTGACTTAAAGTCTGAGCAGAAGTCTCCTTTAGTGATTTTTCAATAATCAACACTTCATTTCAAATTAAAAATCAAAGTAAGACGGACAGTATTTTGAAATGCAAGTGATATCAGGATTAATATGTAAACTAAATGGAGAAATCTTAATTTCAGTTCCAGGCGACACTGTTTATCGAAATTATGAATTTTTCTAAAGTAATGGATTACATAATGAAATTTTATGAACACACACTTTATTTGTAAATAAACCTCAAGTCAGATTGGGATTACATTTAGGGATATATATCATTTTACATATAATAGTTGCAGTTTATCATCAGATTTTCTAACGTTCTGTCAGTCAGATATTTGCGTTTTCGTCTGAAAACATGGCATAGTTGAAGTCGGAGCAGATTTGTCAGGTTGGCCAAAAATCTTCGTGCTGCACAGAAGTTGGGAGTTACTTTACAATAATAACTATTGAAAATAAGTCCATTACTCATTAATTATATCCATTACTTTATAAAATGTAATGATCACAAAACATTATCATTTATTTATCATCATAAAGGTCTGTCTTATGCAAATAATAACATATCATAATATTTTAATCTTGTCTTTCGCCAAAGTTAATAGAAGTTTTAATTATCGGGATAGTCACATCTTTCTTTGATTCCTATTTTATCGGTTCACAGACCTTCCGCATATTTTTGCATATTTTAAGTCATTACATAACCTCAGCTTTATAAACGTTAAACCAAGTGAAACCTATCAAATATACAATAAACAAACATAATGATAATGATACGGGGTTATTTTTTAGCATCTCTAGAACATGCTTGTGTACCATCGAGTAATAGCGTGACTTCTACGACACTATCAAGTTCATCTACTTCAGTAATACCATCAACACAGGTCACTAGTGCAACTTCTTTTACAAGTACTGCGTCTGCCACTTCAATAGGTTCAATGACAACATATTTGATTTCATTATCGTCTTCGTTTTGTTTAACTGTAACTAGTACTGAAACATCAACTATGTGGATGACATCTTACCTGAATTCGTCCTGCACAACTTTACCCGTATCTTTTCACTCTTGCTCATGCACAGCGGCATTGTCAAATTCATCGACCAACACAACAAATGTTGATATAGCGAAATTGAAGATTGATAAAACAACTACAAGTCGTTATCTAAGGAAGAAGTATAGTGCGGGGGATACACGACCGCTGAGTCAGTTTCTGGGAAGTTCTGCTGTGATCATCATTGTTGTTTACATCGGTGCCATTGTAATCTGGGACTTGTTAGCCATAGCTCAACAAGTAAAAATCAAATATTACAAATGCATGAAGGGAATGCAGCACAAATCTGCGAAAATTGAAAATGGAGATGGAATAGATGTAAAAATACATCCTGGGCTGAACTGATGACTAGCAAAATGAAATATGTGCTTTTTATATAGTGTCATATTTAATGGATAATGAGAGACATATATTTTGAAACCAGTGCTTTTAATTGTCGTATGTAAAATGAACAAGAGGCCCAGGGGACTTAACGGTCACTTGAGTATAATACAACACTGTAAGGGATCCATGGAATGCTAAATAATAATAATAATGCTGAAACTTAAAAACATGAGAATTAGGATGATCAGGTTTCCACAAAATAGTTAGTCTGGCTCAGAAAATTGCCTGTATGTGCCTGTGCTATATACACTCTATTACTAACACCAAACATAATAAGATAATAGTACTTTAGCATCAACCATAATATTCTCAGAGTGCAAGCTGCTCATTTCTATTTGCCTCTCTTGATCTTTGAATAATATTTAGTGTACATATGTAACCTATTTTTTCTTATTTCTTATGATGTTTTAGAGGTCCGTGTTTGCTGTGCTCCAAAATTTGTATTGTTTAATGGACTTTTGAGCTTGAATAATGTTCGTTATCTCCATATATTTCATTGTATTCATCTGTTATTTTCATCTCTACCAGCCAATTAAAAACTATGAAAGTACTTTTAAAGTAATATATAAAAAAAATCTTGAATAATTCTTTTATTCATTTTACCTATCAATAACATTATTTTCATTGATTAATTAACATAAGTGACTAACAGAGGGGAACAACTTCTCTTAAAGCAGTGTAGCAAATATTCCCATACATGATCATAATAGAGCCCTAGGTGAAGAACTTCTGTCTCCTGGCCAAATATCACAATTTTGGAAGAGGCACCCTTGCTCATCATAACCATGTATTTAGTTTATCTGCTTAATAACTAGGGGTAGAGAAGAAGATTTTCAAAGAATTTTGGAAGATACACCCTTGCACATCATAACCATGCACTGAGTTTGCATGGTAACCAGGAGCAGTAAAGAAGATTTTCAAAGATTTCATGAATTTTCACTATAAGATCAACAGAGCCCCACCCTAACTCCAGAACTCCTGACCCAGGTGGCATGAATTTCACAGTTTGGAAGAGACACCCTTGCTCATCATAATCATTGCTTATTATAACCATGCACTTAGTTTGCTTTATATCCAACAGATTTTAAAGAATGTATACATTTTAACTATTTGATCAACAAAGCCCCACCTTAACTCCAGAACTACTGACCGGGGGCGGCATGAATTTCACAATTTTGGTAGAGGGTTCAATGCTTATTACAATCATGCCAACATTTTCACTGCTTGATGTCCAGAAGAAAAGAAAATTTTTAATGATTGCTTAAATTTGATGGGTTTAGCCCCACTTCCTAGGTCCCAGGGGGACAGGTACCACGAAGTTCATAATTTGTTTACCTTAACCTATAGATGCCATATACCAAAATTGGCGGAAATTAGTTCAGCGGTTTAAGGAGGCTGGGGGGTCAACAAATTAACCACAAATTAACCACCAGATTTAACTTAATTTTTTAGATATGATATCTTAAGCTGTCAACTATCATTTGGCAAAGAAAAATTTCAAAAATTTAGTTTTAAAATTTGATCCCCAAAGAAGCACCAAACAAATCACAACTCGTTGGGGAGCGCTACATTACAACTATACATACTCATTACCGCTTCTAAATAGTATTCATTAACGCTATATTTATACGTATACGTTATTTTACAATGCTTCTTCCATTATTCAGCATCTTATATTTGTGCACGTATAAAGTACAACATGTACAATTCCAGAGCTGCAAACCCTTACGATTTTGGCGTAAGGCTTAAGTTTGAGAGTCTAAAATACGCCTTGCAATTTATCCTAAGTTACTATTTCCGTTTCTCTTCGTCAGAACTTTGAAATACCAGCATTTTTAATATGTCTGTCTTTATTATTCGCTATGAAGAAGAAAGGTCATATTACTTACACTGTACAGTGCTTACTTTAATTACTGTCATTTTCCGATTCTATGCTTACTTATGATAGCAAACATCTTAACATAAACAAAATGGAAAAATTTCAAGTGGCCGGGTCTATAAATGGCCCCAGGACCTATTCTTACGATTTTTCGTTTTACGATGTTGGCAGCTCCGCGATTGTATTCCGGAAAGTCTTAATTTTACGAATTTTGGTAACCATTAATGATTAAACATGCATTGCCATGTACCAAAAACTATCAATGTAAGCCATGTCGTTTAACTGACTATACTGTACTTTGGCTACAGGCTAAATGAAATATATTGAACAGAATGATTGTACTTCGAATACATATTGAATAGAACTCAGGGTGAAAGAAGTGGTAATGAGTTGCCATTTCTTTCAAAGTAGTGGTAATGCCACGTACATGTAGTAGAGAGATTTTTACTGCAAGTATATTATTCTGAAAATATTGCTGTAGTATTTCTGCAAAAACAGCTGTCGGTTTGGTATTATTTTCTTTAATTATCCATGCAATGGACAATGCTCGGTGCATGGTTAATTTGTGTCCGAGGCATGGTGAAATGAAGCTATTAGTTTCAAGTATTGAAATGATTGTATTATTGAAAAAAACTTAATCCAGACAAGAGGCCCATGGGCATTATTTAAAGAAACTTGAATTTACACTATCTGAATGCTTCCATATAAATATGACCATGCAATCATGGCTTTGCCGTTGTTGAGAAGATTTTTCCTATATATTCCTTAATAAAACTTTGATTGCCCATTGTGGCCCCACCCTACCCCCAGGGGTCATAATTAGAACAAACTTGAATTAAATCTAAGCCAGGAAGCTTTCACATAAATTTCACCTTTTCTGGCCCAGTGGTTCTTAGGAAAAAGATTTTTAAAAATTTCACCAATTCTTAATTATCTCCCCTTGAAAGAGGGTGTGACTCTTTGACCAAACCTCAATGCCCTTCACGCAAGGATACTCTGTGCCAATTTTTGTTCAAATTTGCCCCATGGTTCTAGAGAAGATAAAATTGTCAGCTAAGAATTGTTTTTCAGCTTCAGAATTACAGACACAGAAGACAGTTTATTTTTACATCGTTTGTCTTTCGTTAGTTTAGAATCAGTTCGGCATATTCCCAAATCACTTATGATAAAAGTCAAAAGTAAAACAAATAATTGTTGTTGGAATAAAAACAAATATCATAACAGTTAACAAATTCTTTATTTCAAAGAAAACAAAATATGCTATTACCGGATAATTAAGAATAAATAATATAAAATCTAATGTATAAATGTGTGAAACACAACTAAATTGCCATATATCACATTTATGCTACAAATATTCTCTCAACATACCTTAATTCTAAAAAAAAAAAAATTAGTGTTAGAAAAGAAAACAATATCTACTCAGTGTATGGTATATTTGTATAACGATAAATGTATTTTGGTCTTTTAAAACATTGACATTGTGCCCTATCCTGGAAAACAGAATGTAAACAATTATATTTTTTATATAAAGCTGTGAAAGAGAAAGTTTATCTGCTAACAACATTTTTTTTAAAAATAATTACTAAAAGTTTTTAATATATAGACAACCAACACAGTTGGCAGACAAATTCGAATAAATAACATGCGTAGTAGAATAATAAAGGATGATAAGAATTACTGAATGTATTCTCCTGCTTTAATAGAGATTCCGCCTGTAAATTGTACAAACTTATATCTCCTTAAAAGAAAAAGAAAAATGATTAATCAGCTAAGTTCCTTTAAAAAATCTTTTGGAAGTGGTGGTGGTGGTTGTGCTGAAGGGGGGAATGAAAATGTAATGATTTATTTGCACACTCAAGAAATATATCTACAAAGAAAAGATCAATTTGAAAGTAATCAACCAATTATAAAAACTATACAATGTAAGTCTTAAATCCTCTTCCTATCAAAAAAAAAAACTTCCAGTATTAAAAATTGTTATTTTCTTTGTTTATTTTTTTAAAACAAAATCAAATCATCTATGCACATTTCTTTAGTATACAAAATAAAGAATCCAGACCCCAGTCATGTGTGAGCAATTCTCCCCTGATTCATAAAATTAATTTTTTTAACTCTAGGCAAATGGTATTGTCTTCATCTCTTGTAAAAGCTAACTACTTGATCACATGGGAAGGACTAAAAATACTTTCCATTCCATAAATGTTGGCAAAGCAAGGATTTTTTAAAACTTGCACATTTTTCCGTTTCACTCCAATACTAGTACATAAAGATTCTCACAACCCCTACCCCCTTACTGGACTACATTCTGAACCAAATTTAGCATATAAACAAGATTTGTCACATGCAAAACAACATTTTACTTATCATGATCAAGCGTAAAGTTGTTTGGAAATATAATTTGTTGTTTGACTGATAAGAAACACCAGTGATAACTTTAAGGCATCTGCAAATTAGTGCAGGGCCTTAATTATTTTCAAAATTGGGCCATCTTTAAAGAAAATGTTTGATTGCCCTATCCCAACCAACTGGCTAAAAATAACCCCACTCAAGACCTTTTTTTCCTCCAGGAAATAATTTTTTTATGTATTCTGGAAAAAAAAAAAAAAAAAAAAAAATCAGCATTGATGTTGAAATTTTCTAGGGAAAAAGTTTTTTCCACCTACCTACCGACCCAATTTTTTTTATCCTGAGTCGGGAGAGGGCAAACAAACATTATTTTAAAGTTGGCCTTGAAGTTTAAAATGCAGAGAGAGAAGAGTTTATACTTAAAGTGACAGTGATCTGCTATTGCATGTCAAGATCCATTCTACATTAATTTGCTATAACATGTCATAATCCATTCTTGCAAAAAAAATATTGCAGTTATTGAGTTCAAAAAGGTTTCCTGAATATAAAAAAATCACATCTATGCTGACAGACAAAAAACAGTAAAACAGAAAACGATTTTTGAACACATTGGAAGAATATTTTGGAGCATGTAAAAATTTAGTCATATTTAAAGCCATTTAAAAAAAACACCATAAAAATGTTCACAATAATGTCAAAGTATACAACATGAAAACTGGTGGAGAATCAATATGATAATTTCTACACCAAAAGCAATATATTCAGCTTGCTTCAAATTTGCAAAACAAAAAAAAAAAAATCAGCAAAATCTCTTTTTAAAAAAATGCTAGCAAATTTGCATTCAAGAGCAAAACATGCCTCCATAAGTCAAAGAATTAGTAATCCACAATAAACAATAGATTACTTCAAATTCCATGCCTCAAGCACTTCAGTCAGAACTTTTTCTCCTTTACAATACAATTACAAAGGCAAAAAGACTATACGACTTAAATGAACACTGGAAAAAAAATTATCTACAGCAGTTCAATTTACCAATTCAAAGAGATGAGGTATTTAATGAGTATAAAGTCTTCAAAGATTTTTTTCCATTCATCAGTTGTCAAATTACCCTATATTAAGATAAACTGGTATCACGTTTGTATCTTGCTTTTGATGACATCTTTGTCAATTCTTTGTTTGACAGTGTCTCGTTTCTTCCTTTTTTCTTCCTCCAACGCCTTCTGCATGTCCGTATAGTATTCCAGAGCTGCCCTCACAGGTTCAATTATGTCCTTCTGCAGTGAAAAAAAATAAAATGCTTGTAGAGAAGACTAACAATTTTTAATTCAATAAAGGATAGATGAGAAACTGTATCCACTTCATCAACATAAAGTCTGTAATAAAATGGGCAGATCAATGATTTCAAGTTAGAGGATTATAAAGTAATATGTCTTTGCAAACTAGAAGTCTCTCAACAGACTGTAGCTCTACTGATGTGTACTTATAGTAAAGAAAGATGCATCTTAGTATAGTCTACTTGTGTACCAAGTCTTACTGAAATCATACTGAAACCATAGTAGGATTTATATTTTGAAAGAATTTCACAGAAAATTTTATTTACTAATGCATGGCAACATCAATTGTTTAAATGAAAAACCAGTTAATAGAATTATAATTTATCGATGTAAAGTCTACTTGTGTACCCATTCTACATATAACTGAAATTGGATTTAAACTATAGAGGAGGAATTGCATATATTTCTATATTTAGTAACCATGGCAACCCTGTCATAATCAAAAAATGATACACAGAATTATGTACAGTGAACCCTCAGATATCTGGATGCCAGAAATCCAGAAGCTTCAGTTTCCAAATGAATTTTCATGAGAACAGAATTTTTTAATGTTATTTTGTCTCATTTATCCCGAATTCCGCTTTCTGTATCCGGTGTTTTTTCACCAAGAAATGCTTTTTTACTTTATATTTTGGTTCATTAATCTGGACAGTCATTTTTAATTGGTCTTCCAACTCTGCTCAAATTTATTGTGCTGGGTGATAATTGTTTTAACAAGAGGCCCATGGGCCACATTGCTCACCTGAGCACATTGGCTAGGAAAAAAAAAGCAAAAATCAGTTCAGTGTTTACGGGGGGGGGTTCAAAATCTTCTTGAGCAGAAGATTTTTCCCACATATTCATTTGTAAAAATTTTATCCCCCACTGTGGCCCCACCCTACCCCCGGGGTCCCTCATTTGAACAAATTTCATTCTACACTACCCAAGGATGCCTCCATATCAATTTTACTAATCATGGCTTTTCTGTTCTTGAGAAAAAGATTTTTTCCTATATATTCCTCTGTAAACTTTGATCACCTATTGTGGCCCCACCCTACACCCAGGGGTCATGATTTGAACAAACTTGAATCTACACTACCTGAGGATGCTTCCATATAAATATGACCAATCATGGCTTTGCTGTTCTTAAGAAGAAGATTTTTAAAGATATTTTCCTATATATTTCTATGTAAAACTTTGATCTCCCATTTTGGCCCCACCCGACCCCTGGGGGTCATGATTTGAACAAACTTGAATCTACACTACCTGAGGATGCTTCCATACAAATATGACCAATCATGGCTTTGCTATTCTTAAGAAGAAGATTTTTAAAGATATTTTCCTATATATTTCTATGTAAAACTTTGATCACCCATTGTGGCCCCACCCTACCCCCGGGGGTCATGATTTGAACAAACTTGAATCTACACTACCTGAGGATGCTTCCATACAAATATGACCAATCATGGCTTTGCTATTCTTAAGAAGAAGATTTTTAAAGATATTTTCCTATATATTTCTATGTAAAACTTTGATCTCCCATTTTGGCCCCACCTGAAATGTGATCAGAAAAGCTCACTTGAGCCTTCGGCTCAGGTGAGCTAAAAAACTGGCCTGTAAGTTTGGTCAACATTGGGCTTATAGTTTCTTTAAGAATGAACCTGCTCTAAAAACTTTAACCTGGTCACTCATCCAGAAAATGCAAGTCAGATCCAGCATCTGAAGCAAGCCTAGTAGTGTGCAACATTTGATGCATCATCTATGCAAGTTTGGTCAATATAGGTATGTGTGTCAGTCTGTAACAAATTTTCGTCACAGTTTTCTCAGCAACTACAGATGCTTGAAATTTTAGCTTACTCTTTGTTTAGGCATGCCATATGGTGGGATTTATTTCTGTACAAATTCGATGTCAACTTCTTGTTTATCTGTACATCTGTCTGTACCAAATTTCCGTTGCGCACCTTTCTCAGCAACTACTCATTGCACATGCTTGAAATTTCAGCACATGCCATATAGTGAGATTCATTTTTGAAAGAATCCAATGTGAACTTCCTGTTTATCCATACGTTTGTCCGTACCAATTTCCCTTGCAGTTTTCTCAGTAATTGCTCAACGAAGATGCTTGAAATTTTAGCACACTCTTTGTTCAGGCATGCCTTATGGACATGAGAGCATATATTCACATCAGAACAGGGGTATTACTAACAAGCAATGACTCACAGACTTCTTTTTTTTTTGGGGGGGGGGGGGGTAGCTTTGTCTACACAGTTATAAAAGTATATTGGACAAATTACACACTACTCTATATAAGATATTATTATAAGATATTATTAACAATATATACTTAGATGATTGCAATTCTCTTGATCTGTTCCATACCTCAATAACAGGAAAAAGCTCCCTCAGGGCTTCAAATAAGGGCAGCAGTGCAAATTTGATAAATCCTATTTGTGAAGATGATTTTGTTACTTTCTCTCTGTCCATGAATGGGGCCACTGGTAATCCTTCTAATTTTTCCATATCACTCTATAAAACAAAACAAACTAATCAACAATTGG